TAATGTTTCACTATGTAACTAATGAGCCTTTTTACAGTGGAAAAACAGTGAGAAACTCTCAAAATGCCTATAAAAATCTACTAAAATTCTGCTGTAAAATGTTTGCTGGGAAGGTTGTTTAAAACAACAATTTGCTGTGTGTATTTTTTTCGTAAAGTCAAAATTAAATTAAAAATACTTAAAAAATGTATTACTTTGATTTAAAAAAAGATGTAAGAGGATTGTTATAAAGTTTTTATTCTAAAATATTCAAAAATAGTGTTATTTGTGTATTCAAAATGAGCGCATTTGTTTTTTTGTTTTTTTTAAACGCTTTATTAAAAGTTGTATTAAAATTTATTTAAAATGTTTTTTCATAAAAGTTCAATATATAGTTTTATATTCTGTAAAAAAAATTTCCCATGTTTTAATTGATTGTCCGTTTCTTTACCCTGAAAGTCCTATAATGCGCCTCTAAGACTTTGAATATATTCTGTTCGGTTTTACAATTATTATTTGCATCAAAAAAATGGATAAAAAAATAGTAATTAAGTTTTTTATTAAAATAATAACTTAAAAATCATTGCAAAATAGGCCTTTCAAATTCATTTATTAGCGAAAACCAGAAAGCTTGGTAATGCAACCTGTGTAGTTTCGGTAATGCAACACCTCACAGTTAAAACCAAATTTCTAAATAATCCTTTTTGTTTCAAAAGCAAAGTTTATATTTTTTAGACATTCGATTTAGTAAATATTACATCCAGCAAAAACAAAATTCTTAAAAATGTATAAAAAAAATTTTTTATTAATCTTTTTTTTTTTGAAAACCCAAGTACGAGATTTGTTAAGTAATATATTATATAAAGTTTACTTGAACTCAGAAACTTAAAAACGCCACGATGATATGAAAAATGTCAAAATTTAGAAGTGGATTTATTTAGTTTATAGTTTTATTTGAAGAAAATGATTAAAAGAAAACATACCCAAATGTCATTTTTATGATCCCCATGCATAAACCTTCTTTTTCGATGCATTCAGTAATGCAAAACATTTTTTAAAACAGCTTTTATATTTACAGTTTTTTCTCAATATTTTTTTTCAAAAATGACATATCTAAAATTTTTAGATTTTTTTTATTGGTAATACTAAAAAAAAAAAATTAAATAATACCAAGCGGCACAGCAATAATCTAAAATCCTGTGACCCAATGACCTTGTTGCAATAACAAACATAGAACCATATACTGATGGCAATAATGATGATGATGATAATGATGATGATGATGATGATGATGACGATGATGATGATGATGATGATGATGATGATGATGATGATGATGATGATGATGATGATGATGATGATGATGATGATGATGATGATGATGATGATTGACAGTGATATCTACTAAAACTATTAACTTGATATTACCTATACTTTTGCAATATTGGTCACATGATTCTCCACCATTAGACAGTTGTAATCCTGCACAATCAACCTGGCAACTAGCAGTTTCACTTTGATAACAGTCTTTTGTACAGTTTGTGAGTGTTGAACTTCTAGTTTTAAATCCAAAACCACACAAAATACTGCATTGGCTCCATTCACTCCAAGGTACTACAGCTGTAAAACAAAAACAAAAAATTTAAATTAGATATTGAACATAATATATTAAAAATATTAAATGATTTACTTTATAGTTCACTTTCAAACTAAGCACAACTGTGTATACAATTTAGTTATATAATTTTCAAAAACTCTTACTTGTTGTCATTTCAGTTGTTGTTGTAGTTGGAGATACAGTGCTGGGTGATGTTGCTTCTAGTAAACATTAGCATTAAGTTAAATAAGCAAATCATTTTTAATATATATGTTATAAATATAAAGTTATCTTTAGCTGGAACTTTTGTCAAGCCAGTATAACTTTTGACCTTAAAGGCTAACAGATATACTGTTCAAGTGTCCCAATTAAGCAAGTCTCCTGATACCACAAACTTTTAGAAAATGTTTTATTTATCAAAGATTTTTAAAAAATTGACAAAAAAAAAATTTTTTTTTTAACTAATTCATTTTCAACAAGGCTGCAAACTTGAGATTTACTACAAGCTGCAAGTTGAAATTTACTATAAAACAAAGAATAATCTTAAAGAGTTAGGAAACAATTGACAGAAAACTTGAAAAGTTGAAGGTTGTATGAGTCAGGAAAACATAAGGATGGCAGATGAGTAAAAGTTTTTAGAGCATGAAGCCGCAGATATAGACAAATGCAAATAACAAGTAAAGCCAGTTTTGCTTACTCTAACATGTAAAAGATGATGCTTAAAGCCCAAATAAATCTTCCTAGTGTATTTTAAAAATGATATCAAAGATAATTTAAATTTTTAGTTCTAGTATTTCTGCTTTTAATATTTAGTTCAGGTATTCCTGTGTTTAAAAAAATACAGTAATATAAGAATATAGAAAGTATATGACTTTTACAATAATTATAAATTATAACTAAAAAGAATAAATATAAAATACATAC